AAGTCATTATGATTATGTTCTTAGACATCTTCGATAATGTCTATCATGTTTGTTGCAGGTGAAGTCGTGTCCGTTTTACCCTAATCTGGGGTAGGGTATGTAAAATCACAAAAAATGGTCTGGGATAGGATAAGGGATTTGAGGGTCGTGCGGCACACCACCACCCAAGTTGGGGAGGTAGTCAGTATTCCTTCGGACCTTATCGTAACCAGAAAACAATCTACAGATTTGTTGTTCAGGTCGCTGCTGATTCTTAATGCTCTACCTTTCCTTTTCTATAGGATTTCGTGGTAGTATTTACCATCATGCAAGAGTTCAAACAATGTTTGACACTAATCACAATGAGAACATTATTCTTATGAACTGACACTTGATCTGAATGTCACGGATATCACGGTTATCAAACCACTAATTGTTGGCGATTCCGCATATCATAAAAACCTGATTACCTAGTCCACATCTGTTGTTTACGTGACCGTGGCAAATCTATCCACATTCAACGAAGTTTCTCATACTCATTAATTATTCATGAGGTATCCAGCCAATTCCTGATTGTAATTTGTACCACGTGCAGTAACTGGATACCAGAGGAAGTACTCCTACCTTGTATTCTAGCTTTTTTCCAGTTACTTCTACCTTGTTTCCAGCTACTTCTATCTTATTTCCAGTTACTTCTACCTTGTTTCTAGTTACTTCTAGAGTGCAAGCAATATATCCGTGCAACACTAAATTAAAATAGTGAAATTTAGTAAAATTTAGTGAAAAATAGTCGAAGCGTAAATATACTAAATTTAGTGTGCACGTGCAATTTAGTTGAGAAGTGCACGTGCGTTTATGCACACTTTGTCCTCGGAGCTCAACTAGCCAGCTACACTTATAACCATTACAAATGCTGCTGGAATTAGAACCAAAGTCTCATGCTAAAAAGGTACATATCTCACAAACTTTTCCGTAGAAGCGATAAACTCGTTTTTGCGGTTTATTTTGAACATCAAGCAAAGATATTAAAAGGGCGCTGTTGGTTCTTGTCAAGTACTGAGCTTTGAGCGATAGAATTCGTTCGAAAACACGTTGTTTRTAGATATTTTTCGAGTCTTTACATTAAAAGTGCGTCTTGTCTTGATTTTTAGCTTAGACTTTTACAATAAACTCGTTAGAAAACACGTTCATTTGTGTACTGGGTCTTGATATTGGTCATTTTTACTTTAACCTAACAATGTCTTCTGTCTTGATTTTGCTGCGACGCTGAGAATAAAGACTCTTAAACGCGTTTTCTTGCGTATCGTGTGGTTATTTTAGCTTTAGAAGTGTCTTGTGTTGATTTTGCAGCAGCGCAAATAAATAAAGACTCTTAAACGCGTTTTCTTGCGTATAGTGTGGTTATTTTAGCTTTAGATGTGTCTTGTGTCTTGATTTTGCAGTAGCGAAAATAAATAAACATTCTTAAACGCGTTTTCTTGTGCCTTGTAGTTATTTTTTTTAGATTAAATTGTGTCTTTTGTCGTTTTTGCGGCATCAGCACAAAGGAATAAAGTCTCCTGGTAGAGGCTCTGAAATCATTTTACTTGCGTTTGTTTGTTATTTTAGATTTGTTTATAGATTTTAGTTTTGATTTTGTAGCAACGCTATTCTTGAAAAAAGCACGACCCAAGCACTCTACAACACGCTTACGGCCCAGTAGCCACACTAAATTATAGTTTGCAATAATTTAGTTAAATTTAGCAAAATTTAGTAAAAAATAGTTTTAGCTAGTGTTTCACAGATATATTGTTTGCACTCTAGCTTTTTCTAACTACTACTAGCTAATGATAATCAAAGTATTAGAAATAATCAAATTAATATGGAATTAATTTAGTGAAAAAAGGTCTTTGATAAATGACTCCCTCACGAAACGATCCCGAACCGTCCAATCTATATGCGCCGTCTTATACCATTACACCACCGAGTTTCTGATGTAATTCCTTGGTAGATAACATACTTATAAAACTTATGAATTAGACTCATTAGGAATGCCATGAAAAGCAAACAAAGACAATTTGAAAAGCTTTTGTTTCAGAAAGCCGTTCGGGAATTGGAAAACAACAAACGGTGCTTCTTTATTCAAAAAATAAAATTATGAAAACTGAAAACCTTGGTGGAGATGCAATAAATCAATATATTTCTGTTATATGTATTTCCTTCGCTTTTTTCCCCTCCCGAATAATTAATGAGTATGAGAAGTCGTTCAAAGTCCTCCAATTTGGACTGGACGGGATTTCAAGTCCTTGCAATTAGTTCCAGTACGAGGCGTTAGCCTCGGACTGGAACTAATTGCAAGGACTTGAAACCCCGTCCAGTCCTCATTGTCGGACTTTAAACATTACTTCAAGCACATTTTTGATAAAATGTTCCAAACATTTTTCACAAAACCGGGAACTTATGCTAAGTAATACATCTATTTGCTCAAGCATGTTAAGGCCTATGAAATGCTTCGTGGGGGGTCTAAAATAAATTTAATTTTGTCCTGTAGTCGTTTTCGCTTCAAACCTTACAAAATCTGGCGTGGAAATGTATCTTGACGATCTTAAGATTTTAAGGAGACAACTTTTGCACTAAGGGTATCACGTGATCACGTTCCTTGCTCCCATCAACCCAAAAGCTTTGATTTAAAATGGGAAGATGGATATCATGTGTAGGAAGGACTGAACGGTATATTTTCACTTCTTTCTCAGAGATGTATGCGAATTTTTCCTTAAAGTGCTAGTCTTATCAAAAAACTAAAATTCTTGAAATTTATACAGAATAAAATATAAATACCAAATAGTGTTCTGGCCGTTTTTTGTGCCTATACGTCAACGAAAAGATATGTTTTTGAACCCGTCCGATGAATTTCGCGTTTTCTGATCCGCCATTATTTGAGAGCGTGCCGTCCAACTCATTACATATTCATAGAGTGACACTCGCGCCAAATTCAACACGAGTTTTTGCGGTAACTTTCAACAAGAAGATGAACAGTCAGAGTCTTTTTCGCAGTGTTTTATAGAGTTGAATGTAGAAAGATCACTTTGCGCCATATTGTTTCTCTTGTTGTCTCTGCTCAACGTGCGCCTCTGGTCCAAAAATCGCTCAGTATTCAAATTTGATGGCGGACGGAAATGTTTATTTTGTTAATTTTTACTTTGTTAATTTTTAGTATTTACGGTTATTTCTTCAACGAGGATATGGAATACATAAAACCTGTTTTTGAGGCGTGTTATTTTGGTAAGACTAGCAATTTAATACCTGAACTGGGTGATTTGAGAAAATGCGACTAGCCAATCAGCGCAAAGCTGACAAGCTTATGTTGTAAACATAACCCCCAGCACAGCAAAATTCGACCCAGTAGGGTAGGCTGCCTGTCATTTTATTCTATCCGAAAAATCGAAGCTAAAACGCAAAGAGAAATTGAAAATCTTTATAAAATAGCTTTTAAATGTCATTAAAATATTTATCGTTATAGAAATCTCAGGTCAGTTATACATTTAATAGCAGTTTGACCTTACAACGAGAGCTAGAACGGTGACTGGGTTTTTTTGTGTAATGATAGCGACTGTTTATGTCGAAACGACTAAAAACAAATTCTATCGTGAAAAAAGCTCGACTACATTCTCTTCTGAAAAACACGTGTGTATTTAAGGTGGAAAATGCTTCATATGAGCATTCCGATACTTAAAACATTTTGTTTAGTTATGTAAATAGATTCAACACGACTTGAATCCCTCCCCACGAATAGCATAAGGGACGATTACTAGTAATCGTCCCTCATGCATAATAACATGAGGGACGATTACCAGTAATCGTCCCTCATGCATAATAACATGAGGGACGATTAGACTAATCGTCCCTCATGTTATTTATGAGGAACGGAAGGCAAAGGAAACCTAGGAACTGAATGTCCCTACAGCTGTCTTCTTTTTACCTCTGCAATGAACGGTCTGGTTATCGTCTCAGTCACACTGAAATGTGGGATGATTTTTGGGCCAAATTGACCKAKTAGCTCTGGTTCCGAGTCTCTACTTCGTACCGCTGAGCATGTGCACTTGACGAATTTCAATGATTGATAATAGTTTATAGGCTTCTTGGCATTATACGTGTAAATATAAAAACAATTTTTCGGGGTTGAAGTTAAGGTTCGTTAACTTCAGCATTGAATAGAACTGAAAAGCAATTGTTTGAAAGTTCGTTGTGGGAAATCGGTAACAATGGTCGGATTACGAATATCATTTTGAACTGTTGTTCTGCGAAAACCTTTTCAATGACACAATAAAGTACTTGGTACTCTGCGTGAAGCAGACGTTTGTTGCAATATTTTTATTACTTCTGATTAAAAACATTGGAGCATGCAATAAAAAAAACAAGAATTCAAATTCGCTCAAGTCCAACTTTTTTCCTCGGAAATCATGGTACTACATGGTATTACACGGCCGTCGGGACTTCAACTTATCTGCCCTCGGCTTCGGGGACATTTAATCCCTTATCTCCCTCAGAGCCATGCTATTACTTATAAATGCACGGGCTCACTGGCTTACAACCTTGGTGAATTCATATGCTGGCCTGGTCGCAAATCAATCACCCAGCATTTAGGCGATATTTTCTGTTTTTTGATTTGACAAGTAGGTCACGTGATCTATTTTACGTCATATCGCCTTAACAAGTAAAGTTAGTTCAGGTATTAAGGCAGATTCGTATATATTTCTTAGCAAGAAATGAAAATATACCATTAAGTTGTACCCACACATGATATCCATCTCCCCATTTTAAATCAAAGTTTTTGGGTTGGTGGGTGCCAGGAACGTGGTCACGTGATCACCGTCCCTTACAATTTTTCATCTGAAAATCTTAAGGAAGTCGAGTTACATGCTCATGCCAATGTTTGAAGCGAAAACAACTACAGGACAAAATTTTTTGACTTTAGACCCCCTGAGCAAAGAAATACCAGGCCTTAATATGCTTGAGTACAGAATAATGCACAGAGAACATCGCTTGATCAGCTAGTTTATTATAGGATTACAAGTGTACAGTGTTTTGCCAGAATTATGTAAATTTCAATACTAATGTCATGGTTAATACATTGAATCTAGTCCGCATAGAAATTTTTTTAGCCAGGTTTTCACTCCATGCAGATATGACAGCGTTCTATATACATGACAAACTCCGTCTCCGCTTTCATAACGCAGGAGGAGCCGACGAGTTCTGTTCTTCTAAATAACTGCTCTTGTTTGATTTTTTTTACTGGAAAAGGATTTTGAGCTACATTGTTAGTATCAATCTCACACGCAAATGCCACACCCTTTTTTCTTTAAAATAATTTTGTTTCGGGCCAACGTTTACACGTCAAAAACGGCTTATATATTTTTACTAAATAGTTTATAACGACATGAAGACTCGACGTTTCGGTGCCGCATCAGGCATCATTTTCAAGAGTAAAGTAATTGTAGGTTCGTAGTTTGATTATATTTTTTGATTATATTTTTTAGTAAGGAAATATTTATTTTCCTGGCAAAAATTCTTAAAAAGTATTCTTTGCCCGGAGAGTTCTTTTTCTCGCTAGCAACCAGTTGTTACTTAAGGCTGCCTGGGACATAAGAACAGATATATTTCTCCCAGCTAGGAACCCATCGGCTCCTCCTAGCATTACGCATTACTATACTGTATTTATCCAAAAGGTAATTTAAACAAAAGCTTTTCAAATTGATACAAACTTTAGTTGTCATCCCGAAAAAAGTCATCCCGAGTAAATTCAAAATACTGTATGGATATTCCCATTAAGGAATAGAAACCTTATTTATAAAGATATGAATAGATGACTATGAATAACTATTGTGCAAAACTGTCAACAAAAGTCACGACCATGATTATACAAACGTTCGATGAACAACGATATTCTATAAACTATTGTAGAGAAGAGGCGCCCCGTTTATCTGAAATTTTTCGTTTTTTTGATGGAGGAGAAACACTTTGATGAAGCAAAAACACTTTTTTCCTCAGTGTGTTTCTTTGCTCTGGAGCTAGCTTTACGTATACCTCTTCATTTTCTAGTGTTTTCCTAAATGATTGACTGGAAACGTCGTCATTGACCATCGTAAGCATACTTTGTACGTCTTCTCTGTCGGAGTTGTTCCTAAAAATACGAACCAAACTCTGAATAAAAGCGCTTCCGCTTGAAACCCGACGATAGCACTTTTGCCCTTCAGTGCAAGAAAAAGCTACAAGAATGTCAGCCTCTCTAGGAATATCTGGAATTGCTGTACATTCTTCTCTCTGGTTTCTAGATGAACCAGCACCATCATCATAAACAGCTCCACGGTCGACATTAGGTCCGCGACATGCCTGGATGATAAACAGCTTCGGTTTTCCACAAAAACTCTTGCATTTATCGTTTTTGAAGTAGCTGAAAATGTCTTTATAGCTAATCTTTTTACCATCACATGTACGGAAAACACCCTCATTTCCATGGCTCATTATGCAGAGAACAAAGCAATCCTTGTCTTCATACTTCTTGTCAGAAGAAATGTTCCGAAGCTCTTGTTTAATTTCCACTGCTCCATTTTTCTTACTGAGATTCACAACTTCGAAACTAAAGTAGTCGCCAAACAATTCAACCATTGCTTTTTCATCGTACTCTGAGCCAATACGATTTTCTCGATCAACAAATTTTGCAATGTTGATGACTACAAATAAACCATTTGAGACACGCACATCTGAATAAGACAGAAATTAAAAATATTGAGTCATGAAATGATAAATTACTACGAAGTTTCTCAACGCTTCCAATACACCTTTTCAGTTGCACTTAGGCCTCGATAGCAAGTTAATTATTCTATTGAATTTGGGAAATGAATATTTAACAAGCTGTCGAGGCCTAAGAGCAACTGAAAAGGTGTATTAAAGTAATACCTCCTCTAACACTTTGCCGATCCGAGGGCTCGATCTGTTGATTGATTAAACGCGTAGAATATTCATTAGCACAAACTCAAGAACTATGTTGAAACAGTCAAGAATATAAATACACAATAATGTCAAACTCAGTCTACAAAACACTAGAATCCGCATAATGTGATCCCAATACTCCAGTTTCGAATTCATAGCGAAAAACCGCTGCTCTATTTGACAACAGATTGCGCAAAGACCTGACCAAACACAAAAGAGAGCACAAGAAAATGTCGTTATTACAATAGCCTTAGTTGAAAATTTGCATTTTCCCCGATTTGAGACTAACCCTGTGTTCCCATAAGACCTAAGAGGTATAAGCCTTCTGGGAATACACGGTTAGCCTCAACTGTAAAATGTAAATTGTTAGCACAATAAAATTGTACTTACAGCATTCTCTCGTGCTTTCTTTTGTATTGGGAAAGAGTATTGCATTTGAATTTTTGCTTAAAAGAATTTGTATGGATCAAATTTTGCCTGAACAGGAATGGTAGCAAAGTGTATATGCATGGTATGAAAACTAAAATCGAAAGCAAAATTTTATTGAAATCCGTCAGCTGACCTCACTATCCCAGAGTATCATATCAAAACTCACGGTTGGTCTGGAAAACCAATGATGTAGTCCCGACACCTCTGGCCATTCATCTTTGACTTCACAAAAAAATTCTTCATCGTCAGTGGCTGGATGCAGGCAGTTGTCGTCTCCAAAAGGTTGTCCTTCTTTTTTTTCAGTAGCGTCCAATGCACACGATGGACATCTAATGCACAAGTCATACTGTAAGCTTTGGTACCAAGGACACTTTTCTGTTAAGCTGTCCAAGCTTTCCTGGATTACCTGCCTTATCTCAACTGCCTTGAAATCGACGCCAGTTTTGTCTTCGCGATTTGAATGCAGGCATACCTTAATGGTACTCTTGCAGCATACGACTGTCATGATGACTTTAGAATTGTTATCCAGAACAAATTTGGCAGCATTACGAAACAACTTAGGCTCTTTCTGAAAAATAGTCTGTTGTTTCTGAGATCCATATATGGAGCACCATCTGCAAATCAGTTGGAAATATAAACCGTGTGGGATGAATCCGTCCAAAAAGCGGACATACAACGGACAGGGTTCGTCTGAGGATGGCTGGCACTTTATTAGTTCTTCCTCGGGTGATGATGTCAGGTGCGAGGGAACCAAATAACAATAGCCGTCCTTCTGATTACTTGGGATTATTTGGGCAATCAATCCAAAATATTCCATCATATCTAGTATGTCTTTCTTTGCGTCGTCCCTAGCTTCCGAAAGTTCTTGAAAGACGTGATTGATAAGGTCCGTATGCAATCTTCCAGTTTCTGCCAGCTCTCTCCAAAACTTTCGATGCCTAGGTTTCTAAAGGGTATCAATAGACCTATTCTAAGCACTAAAAATGTAAAAAAATATATTTTGCGCTCGACCACTAAGTGTCGCAAAAAACCGTCCCAGTGATTGATGACAGAGCCGTTCACTTTTGAGTGAAAAATGGTCTGTAAAATAGAGTTGTTTTTAATATAGGATTGTGCACAACTTACAGTTGTGTCTAATAGGTGGTTGTCGTTAAGATTAATGTATTTGTCATAGGGGTGAGATCTCTGCCAGAGCTGTGAAAAGCATGTGTTTGTCATATTGACATTTATCATAGTATTATTTATGAAATATCTATATTTCGTTTTTTTGAAAAGTTAATATTTTCACTAGTGAAACTAACATTTACTAAAGTGAAAATAACACATTCGCATTTTACGACATAATTTGCTTTCATATATAATTATACGACTAACAGAATATTACATGTACGCTTGGAGATATGAATTTTATCTTCTCGTATTGAAAATCTCGAGATTGCCGCAAATCCGTATCTTCACGCCCATATAATATCCTCTATATCTGCAATATGAAGGTGCTAGTAATTAATCTGGGTGCCAGTCATTATAATGTAATATATAGAGGATATTACATGGGCGCGCGGAGATATGGATTCGTAGAGAACGAGTGTCAGATTTTCAACACGAGAAGATAAAATTCGTATATCCAAGCGACCATGTAATATTCTTTTTATTACATAATTGTATACGAAAGCAAATTATGTCGTAAAATACCTTTTTTCTTACTTCCACTATATAGAGAGAAACCTCGAATGTGTTGTTTTCACTAGTGCAAATAACATGTTATTTTCACTTGTGAAAATATAATTTTATGAAATGGAGAAATATAGGTATTTCATAGATAATTATATTATAAAAATGTAAATTTCCTTGAGATAAATTCGAATGAATACAACATATTAACATTGAATTACCACTTCATCAGGTTCAATAGTAATAAGACTTTTGAACAGGTTAATCAACCACTTAGCGTCGAGTACAACTGTGTCACCATACTTGATAATGATGCCAAGATCGTGGTAGAAGTTCAACATGGCGGCGATCTCCGTCTGATCAATAGAGCAAACCTGCTCTGCGATCTCTGAAAGTTCTTTAACTGACAGAAATGGTGTCTTCTTTTCTTGTACAAGTGATTGCAAAGCCTGCGAAGAAAAAATAAATGGAATAAATTGCAATAAAATACATACTAAGCTGCAATGCCAGCATTGAAAAACTATAATTTGAGAAAACATTGCCTCCATGATCAAGATTCGACAGCTGTTTACGTGATAAACKTTCTTGTCATCAGATACTAACAAAGACTCTTGTTTCAATTAGCATGGAAACTTTAAGACAATGTCATTTTTTTCTTTAAACATATACTGATAGTTGAATTGAAATTTTATTGAACACTCAACGTTCCACACAAATGATTGGCCAGTAGTTCAGCTAATTGTCTATTGATACTGATGAATGCTATTGCGTATTTTTAAAAATACTATTTAATAGCGATGATCGCTATTGAAAGTCGTTTCGCGCCAATGATGTCACTTGAAGTGTTCAAGAAAGTACAATAAAAGTTATTGATTATCTCTTAGCACAAAATGAATATACGCTTTACGTTCATGAACAGCAAAAGGTGTATATAGCAATATATTAGAAGAAAATCCTTAGTGTTTGTCCACAAACTGYTGATACATGAGACAGAGGGATCGAAATACATAGCTATGTACGACTTATTTTCAACAGCTGTTTCCCAATGAATTCATTTACCTTCTCGAAGTGAAACCAACGAATGGGTACTGGTTCTGGAAAGTAAGGCTCCATGTTAAGTACTTCGTTGATTTTCGAGTGGAGACTCTTAATCCCATCATCGTCCTTCGAGTTATTGTTGTCAACAACGAAGAATGGCTTCAACACGTGGTTCTGAAACTCGCACTTTTCTATTGCGTTCTCTATTTTTCGCCGCTTGGCATCTATGAGCCTTTGTTTTTCATCCTCGCTTCCAGTTAAGTAATCAGCATGGGTACCAACAATAATTACCGGTGGACAAATATAATCTTTAGTTCCTACCCGACTGTCAGTATGGGGCTGGCAAAGGCAGTGTACAGATACTAACCACGACAAAAGGTTGTCCAGATTGGTCTCATTACTTGCATTATCTAGTACAATTTCCCTCGTTCCCTGACGAGCACGAGGTTCTGCCTTGTCGTCCAAATCTTTTCCAAGATTATAAACCAAGATATAGATTGCTCGATGGGACATGAAAACWGGATGAGATGCGTAGAACAATTGTTGGCCAGCAAAATCCCAAATGCTTATTGCGACTTCCKTATCTYTTATAGTTTCATCTAKTTTCTTTTCCTSTAAATRCTTGATCAGYGACTTTTTAATTCCCTCTGGCATTGGTAGATTTTGCTTTGATGAAGATTCCAGTATTTCCTTTGTGGTTGCCTCGTGGTTCTCGGTGTCCCGGTTGTCTTTTATAGTTTCGCCAATTTTCCTCTCCGGCGATTGTTGAACTTCTGGCTTGTCTGCTTGCTCAAGAGGTTCAGAAGAAACTTCTGTTGCTGCGTTTAATGGTACATGATCGGATCTACCCTCATCACGATCATCATCATCATCACCATCATTATCACCTTTATGAAAACCATCATCATTTATATTAGTAACTTTTAAATATGAATTATTCATGTATAAACATCCTCGTAATTGAAACTACATTCGCCTGGAAATGATACTAATTGCATGGACTATGAAGTCATTTCCTTGCTGCGAGTATGTAATTATGTCATCAAAATATATTGTTGAAACCAAGGCAATTCTTCTTGTAGTTTACATTTCATATTAACTTACCCTCTGTATCCCCAGTCAAGTCTCCCTATAAAGATGTATATAGAGTTATCCAGGTTAATGAATATGATGAGGAACTATTTGTCAAGGTAACATCATATTTCTCTCTGCAGGGTTACATCCACCAAAACATCCAAAACAAATTGCAATCGACAATATGTTGTTACTTCGACAAATGTATTTAAAGTTTTTTAGCCGATGGGATTTAGTATACGCACACTATTCTCTCGTATGAAAATACTGTTAACGGCATATAGTATATTTAAWCAACAATCGTCAACCCAGTGATTTTTTTTATAATGGAAAGAAAGCAAAACAACATTTCTAAAAGTGAAATGTTCCACCAGCATCCCCTTCGAGCTTTTGCTCATGTTTGAAAATAAAAATACATCGAAATATAAGCAAAAACTTAAAATCTTTACAATCCTGTTATACTATATGAATSGAAAGTAAAATATGTGCTTTAAGCCGATGGATTGAAAYGGATTACAAATGGATATTCACCTGCGTTTTCCATATATGAAAAATCTACAACACGACCGCATTGAATGCTGGTGAACCATGTCGCTGTAAACGTCTTCATTTATAGTACTTTATCTAATTCCAAATAATCATCTTTGGGATATCTTTAGGCCATTTTGCATATTCATATACCTTTCAATCATTTGCAATGGCCATTAGAAACAGCTGTTGCGACAAAGGACGGAAAACCATGAAGTGGTAGACTCGAGCGCATTGACAGCAAAAAACAGCGGGGTTAAAACAATAAAAAGTTCATTTTCATTGAGTTTTATATTTCGGTCTTAGCTGCTCAGAATGTTCGCATCATACAATATTATTTGTTCTTTTGTTGGYATCAATTTCATTTACACTATTCTATGCTATATACGGTTTTTAATATTTCTTTAATTACGAAAAAAATCTTTATCATGACAAACTTTGTTAAAGTTTCTTGCGCTAAAAAACACATACTAGATTTTACCTGCATTTTGATATCTATGGCCATCGCACGAGCAACGTCATCGTTGACTATTATGCCCTCATCAGTCTCTTTGATCTGCCATCTCTTGACGTCGTTCGTAGTAATAGGCGTACATAACGAAACCTCTACCCCCACTGTGCTTTCTTCTTCGGGATTGAACGGGAAACCAAACAGAGATCTCTTCAAGCTTGTTTTTCCTGCTCTGTCTTGGCCAATTATCTTCACACATGCTCGATAAATTTCTACTTTTCCATAATTTAATGCTTTATAATATGATCTTTCAGCAAGAGGCCCTTGTGCAATTATCTCAGCGGGMAATCTTGAAACTAGACATTACACAACAAGAAACAAATTTAATACTTATTTCTTCAAAAAAAATTGACTTTATTGCACCGAGTTGGAGCATCATAGCCTATTATCGAAAACGAATTCAAACGCACTCTATATGGCTAGCTACATACTTATGGTTAACATGCACATACAAAACATTTGCGACACCCCATTCCTACTGAAATATCACTTCATTGTAAGCCAATGTTCTACTATACCTTCAGAAGTTGTTGGTTTTGTAGGTTTACTGTGTGATGTCTCTAATTCCTCATCAAGTACTCTGTCCATCATTTCCTCGTAATCTAGGATTGGTTGCGTTTTGAGACTATCAATGTCTSTCTTTTCTATTCCAAATCTTAACAAAACATTTTCAATTTCGTTCCAGTACTTGTTAAAATCACCGTCTGTTASAGCTGGTTCAGAAAMTCTGCCATAGAGATTATTACGGTACAATCTCAACCTTACTACATCATCTTCCACGTTGATACTTGTTCCTGCAGGCTCCTTATCCCATCCATTTGCAGGTGTTGGCAAATTGCAGATATTGCGCAACAGGAAAAATAAGAGAATCCTGTCAAAATCTGCCGATGTTGCCGATCCTACAGCTGGATACAGTCTGTTCCACTGCTCTGGTCGTAGAAWTTTTTTAGCCCTCAAATTCTTTAAGATAWTATGAATCCKGCTGTCCATCAAATGTTTTTTTAGATCATGAGGTGGAWGCTTRGTATCAAAARTGGCTCTAAGGGYACGAGTTCCTCCATCMATAAGTAATTTACCCAAYCGTGCAAAATTAGTGTTTTCTTTTGTAATGACGGACCATCCAGTAGCCATCTTGTCTCCCTGTAGATCGTAAATATACAAAATATAACCAGAGATCAAACATACATGTATATAAATGTAACTTAAAATTATCGAAAATGTTTTCAAAAAAGTGCTCAACTTTTTTTTTTGTGCTCAACTTTTTTTTTTATAAATGTATATAACCTAGATGCTAGCAAAAGGTTTGCATATGAACTGTACAGTGAATGTATGGGATTCAAAAAAAAACGAATAAAAAAGAGTATATGACATGAAAACAATGTTTTTCCTGTAAAAAAAGCTTTATTTAAATACTCTGATTTTGTTAAAAGAGAGTTCTGAAAAAATTTCGCTSAGTTCCGACTATTTTAATTCACGTTTTGGGGGCTAATTTTTGTYCCCCCTTTCGAATAGACTGGGACCGAATTTGACGTCATTTTGTTGGCTTGGTTTTAYTGCACTCCGCAGTCTTCTTTATGTGCCAATAAAACCTCTTTTGAATATATCGGATTGTGAGTCAGAAACTAGCGCCTTATTATGCAATACTGATGTAGATATAGAATAGTCAGAATCAGAGGAAATTATGGCGATTCAGGATAAAAAAAAGTTCAACAAAATAATGCTGAAGTGATCGACATAGAAGCTCATTTTGATATATCACTAGACAAGCATCGAAGATCCTTATGACTTATATAAACAATCTCTGGGTCGAAGAGAAGTGTATAAAACTCTTGAATTCCAGGCTGTTTGCCTTATTGAAGCGGAAAGACGGTACATAAAATCTTGTCTCAAAAGATGTAAACAAAGAAACAGTAATTTGAGTCTAGCGGCCGAACAGAACATGAACAGGAGAATATCGTTGTTGTTGGAAGCTTTTTTAAATCCTAGCTTCAATACGAATTGCCTACATCCCAGGTCATGCGGGAATCACGTATAATGAGGCAGCCGACCATATGGCGGGAATGGCAGAACAATTCGGACACATCACTTTTTACTAGTAAGACATTACCAATCGACTGAAAGAAAACTTGAGTAATGACAACACACCAAAAAAGACCTGTTGGTCGTTTCAAAGAATGGAAGAAASGGCAATTAAATTTAGAGATGGAGGACGAAAGACAACCCGACTTAATAACACCAAGSCTGAAACCCAGTGTTACGTTAGACTGTCGTTATTAGACACTGTGTTGTTGTGCTAACTTGTCCTTTGATATCACAATCGGACTAACACATACAAGCAATGGTGAACTCTCCGACTACACAGGAATCCCGATACTGTAAATACCGTTACA